AGGGTCATCTCAACTCACGGCACCGTACGATACGAAATTCTTTTTCAAAAGGACACGCGTCGGAGGGGGGAAAAAGAAAAAAGTACGACAGAAATACGGAGAAGAAACGAGAAGGAGAAGGCAAGGAAGAAAAGAAGGAAAAAAGGAAATACGGAACGTAGGAAACGGTGAAACGAGAGAAATCTCGCTAAGGGTGGAAAAACAGCTATCTAAACGATCGACGACGCAGCGTCGATCAAATTGCAAATCGAAGAATCGCGCTATCCGCGGGGGGAGCCAAGCGTGACAGGGGTACGGTGCATTTTGGCAGGGGGCCAGAGAGTCGTTGGAAATTGCTCGGAGACTTCGCGTAGCCTATTGTCGACTGAACAGACCGGTACCCGTCGGGCAAGATCAAGGACTTGCGGCGAAGCTTCGATCTATTTCATCGAGATCGTTCGTCGATTCGTTTCGATCAAGCCGTTGTCGTTCCCTGTGATCAGGCTTCCTCGACGATGCACCGTGGTCGTCGTCGAGGTGTTCATCGGGCTCTTGAACGTCGTTTCCGTAGTCGTGCTCGTCGACGCCAGCCTCTTCTGCGAACGAAAGACCAGTTGTTTGTCAATTTGAAATATATTTGAATTATAATTATAAATAAAAGATTGAAGAAACTTTCTTTCTGCCGAGAATGGCAACAAGTGATTGCAAACAATGGCTAATTGGTGGCTCGCGAGTTCCGGTTTGAACCTAAACCTAACCTAAAAACCAAAAAGCAAAGTAGTACTTCTTTGATTAAAAGTTTTTCCCATTGAATCGATTGAAAATTAAAAATTGCTCATACAGAATAATACAAAGTAACAAGTAAATCGATGAAAGGACTGAATTTCGCGTTATATTTCACACCAGAGGTGGCTAACTGGCGACCTTTTACCCCCTCCATTTCCCTGATCGCTAGCGCTATCCCCTCCACATAGGCTCGCCAGTTAGCCGATTCTGGATCAGGACATAATTGTTGTTTGTGAAAGTTGTTTTTACCGAAAAAAGGAAGTTATTTACGACTCAGTCAACATTACCTATCCTCTCGTGGTGTGGATATACTGTTAAATAACCTCCAAACACCTCCATCGCCTAAGTCAACATGGCCGCGTTTCTTGGATTCTCGCGTAAGCTCGAAAAAGTCCGGTCGATCGATTTGCTAGACCAACAACAATTCGAAGAGCCACGATTTCAAAGCTGTTCCGAGCAACCGTGTTTATTAACCTCGCGAACCTCCTTCTCCTCGGCAGGTGGAGAGGGAATCGATTTAAGGGAAACTCTCGGGCTATTCGTTTCCGTTCGGCCAATGGGCGTGCGGGGATTCGGTCGATTCAACCGGGAATATCCGGATCGGGGAAGGAAACTGCGCGAAACTTTACGTTCGGCACGCCCGTGCTACGGCGAACTTTCACAATCAGGCCAGGGATCACGTAAGATCCACGCCGGAAGGGAGGCATCGCTCACTTCCGGTTGGTAAGGTCAACCTAGTCCAGGCACGTTCTCGTCAACGGATCCCGGAAATTGCGGCACGTAAAAGCGTCGCGATGCCACGGCATTACTTCCAATTCGAGTGTCTTTCAGGGCTGCCTTTTAAACACCGCGAGCCGATCGCCGATCTTCGTCGAAAAGCTCGGCGAGAACGACGATTTTGGCCGTTTCGTCAGTCGTTTAACACGTTCTGTGTCACGTATGGAGCGTATATATAGCCCGACCCTTCGTTCAAACTGTTTTCGAATTTTCATTGTAAAACGAAGAATTTCTTAAAAATTTGCTATAAAGTCATGTGTTGATCTTAATAACGTGTCTATCGCGTTTATCCTATCGTAAAGCGCGAACTGTCTATTAAGATCAACTCAATGGAGTAAGGAAAGGTTATAAATTTGTTTAAAATTCAAAATAACGATGAAACAATATTAAAATAAATATTACTTATTAACATTTAGTGTTACCGCGTAGCGTTGTATAATTTATATAACAAATAGTGTTATTTAATATTTATTACTGTTTAGCACATAAACAATAATACTACAAAATATAAGGAATAAAATCTTTTCTTTTAATTTGATTTTCGTTAAAAAAATTGTTTGTCAAAAATAATCCCTTAAAATTAAATTTACCGCTTTGTTCTGTAATACTTGAAGACACTTTTCCTGACAATTACAGTTTTTGCACTGTTATGAAGATTGTAAGACATAATTCAGCAGCAAAATGATTAATAGCATCGGTTTCGATTTCTCTCTCTCTCTCTCTCTCTTTCTCTCTATCTATTTATCTTCACATGTCGGCTGAGTTTTACTCCGCGACGCGAAGTAAGTTTTCATGGGGATCGTTTGCTTTGTGACGAAGGAGGTTAACGATCGAAAAATATTTTACGATGAAGCATGATGGAACGTGTTTTTCAGTACAGAGTTTCATCGAGCACCGAAAGTTTATTACAACGAATGTCAATAACGAAACAAACGAAGTGTCGACGATGTTTGTCGAATAACTGGAAATGGTCAGAAGTTGTGAATCCAACGGATTGTTTCCAATTTTCAATTACCTTGTATTAAAATGCTGAAAGCTTCAATCCAACGAATTAACTACCGATTGAAACGCGAGATTTCCAGTAAAAAGCAAAAAGAAAATAAAAAACTTTACAACACAATGAAACTTTTATTTATACGTTTCTATACGAAAAATCAAATTTAAATCTCTAAAAGTAAACCAATTCTACGTTTGTAAAATATCCAACGAAAAATTAGGGATTGGCCATTCTGACCATTTTGGTAGTTCTAGCGTTAATGGCCATCCATGTATTTCTTTCTCACTAATCAAGCAAATTGTATTAAGGC